CTCTGATCTTTACTTAATAACTTTTATTAACTATGTACTTTAATATTTATTCTTCTAATTTGCCAGAGTCAGACAGTTTGTGATTTGTGGATTCTAATAATAATGGCTGAAAAATAAAAGTGAAACAAAAAGTAATATGGGTGACAAATCAAAAAATAGTGTAATGATTAGATTGTCAACCTATGATGACATTGTAATGTATTACTAACTTATTACAGTTTGTAAACTTTGTGTCACAAAATCATTTTATCAAATTATAAATAATACATGATTAACAATTAGATTTGACTTGCCTTATAAATTGATGGATACAACAGTACTGTTTACTGCATTATAGAGCAATTTGGATAAGCAGCTATTTTTGAAAGTATATTTAATTATATTTTAACAGTTATTACAACACACTGGCAATGTAACATCTTCACTATTAAATGGCTAAAACAAAAAGTAGCAACAACCCCCTGTCCTCTGTCTTCATCAAATAATTTAGCAATTTTTACATTCCTACACTGAAGGTATATTGATCACTCGGAGGAAAGCTGGGAAAAGGAAAATTGTAATGTATCAATAAAAAATTCAGAAACAAGAAGTTCCGTACACACATGGAAATCAGCTCAATAATAAATTACATAAAAGTGTGAGGATGTACAGTTCACACATTTTATGAGTAAACGTAAACACAATACAGGATAGATATGTATAAACATGAGCATGTACGATACAATCGGTTGATATAAATGAGAAATGAATAAATGCACATTTTAATAAATAAACATAAAAACTGTTCTAGTATATTATTTGTAAAATCATTAAATACAGAAGTTCCTGAAATACAAGAATGTATTTAATATGTCTATAAATTTTGATTGTTTCATATGTTTTTATGACACAGATCTCTCTTAAAAGACCTCCTGATTTCGATGAGACTAATTCGAAGGATACATAATAACATAATCAGGGGAAGTTTCTGTATGAAGGACAACAATGTGCATCTCCTATAATCATCAAGTGCAGTAAAACACTTCTACTTATCTTTGCAGTTCAGAGTTTCCCCAAATATGGCCTCTGCAAGCCTCTCAAAGCCCCCTGAGAGACACTTGAAAAGCTTGAAACCCCTGCAGCTGAGTCAGGGTTGCCCCCTGCTGGTGACTTTAAAGTATTACCATACTGTTACTATGTAAAGAAAATTGTTTAACAAAATAAACAAAATCACCAGCTGAAGAAGCTGAAGGACAACAGTGACACAAGATCAAATATAATAATTTATCTGGTTACTGACAGGACTACAAGGAAGTTCAATAGTCTGCACTATGCTGCACACCACATCACCATAGTGGAGGAGAGGTAAATCTCAATCTTTTGTCAACAATCGATGCACTATTGTTGGTCAAAACAGTATTAAGCAAAAACTAAAATAAACATTTGAGGAACCTAAGTGTGTAATAAGGTGACTGCATTCCTCTGACTTCATGTATTCTATGTACAATCTTAAATCTTAAGATATATTCTAACCATGTTAACATCTGCGACTGTTTTTTTTTTGTTTCGGTGTAGCCTTGTTTTGTAATTTCCAAATATATATATTATTTCCCAGAGGGTTTCCAGTAAAGAACTATGCAGGATGTGTATGTAAATTCCCTCAATTTAAGCTCTAAGCGCAATTAAATCCCTCCATATTATTCATGAATTATTTATTTAGTTGTGCCACTTGATTTGTGGAATTGTATGCGTTCCTATAGAACTTCCATATTTTTGAAGGTTTAGCTGACCTGCTGTGCATTGGCTGCATTATGCTAGCAAGTAACTGGAATTATATACTTCAAATTACTGTAACTAGGACGTAATTATATTGCATTGTTTTAGAAAACAGAGGAAATTGTTAGTAAATTATTAAAACTTTGTGAACAACTTTGAAAACTATTTGATACATGTAGAGTATTTCTTATGTGAGTAAACACAATTATGACATAACTGCTTCTTTTATGTTGTTTATATGTTGAGTCAGAATCTGCCTAAGAAACAGTTCATGTCATCATTTAATGATTTAAAAAAAACCTAATAATCAGTTGGATTGAACCATTCAGTTAATAAATGACAAATGCCTAACAAGTTATCTGATCACAAAGTCATCAAAAACACTCAAATCCATTTTCATCATTTACATCAATTATTTTTTATTCATTGACAAATCATTAATTCAAACTGAATCATAATTTTTTGAATGCAATTTTAAACAGTTGCAGTCAGTGATTTAAAAAAAGTGTGTCTTCTATTCTGAAGATTTTCAGCAAGGATAAACTTAATATTTTTATAATATAGAAGTCATTTTTTACTGTGTACTTGCTGCACTACATCTGTACAGTAGTGTTAATTTTTAACTTGGCTGTCTGTTGCTCTGGCTGTGCTCATGTTTGAAATCAATCTTTAATGGTCTTAATCTCTCTCAAGACTTTGAACCTTCATGATTTCAAATCACGTCTGTCTATCAAAGCTTGCTCTAAGACTGTAAACAAGTTACCAGTTTAGTAGTTTGAAGATGAAAGTAAAGCATCAGAGAACGACAGAGGGCCTGCGGTGAGGGAGAGGGAGCAGATTTCTTCTTGGCCTCTGGCAGACCTCAAGTGTTAGTCCTCTCTTCAGCTAATGCACATCACACAGTCCCTGTGATCGCCCGACAGATCTGACAGGAGGACAGTAACAGTGTCTTCCCACCACACTGCCCGGAAATGCAGCAGGTGAGTTTAGTCAGCTGGGTTGTTGGGAGGATACAGACTGGAGTTTTAGTTTAGTCAAAATCAAAGTCAATTTATTTATATTGTGCCAAATCATAACAGAAGTTGTCTCAGTGTACTTTTCATTTAGATCAGATCTAGACTGTACTCTTTATGATAAACATAAAGAGCTGAGGTTTAGCACAGGGTAGCTTCAACTCAAGACATTCTCAGTTCTCTGGGAAGTTTTACATTGAATTGTTTTTTTCCATTTATGAATAGCCTTGACATTACGCTGTGGTTTTCTCTACCATATTCGAAGCTAAATGGCTATTTGCTTTTGCACTGGGTAGGGATGTGTTTGGGCAATCTACCTTTAGAATTCACCAATTGGTGCGTGATTACAACATCATTGGCGCTATAGCTGTTCAGTGATAATTATAATTTATTTGTGTTTGTTAAAATGAAGTGTTCACATTTTACTGTACAGTACAACAGTAGAACTTTACAAGCCATCATTTAGATAGCTTCCCGGAAAACATGTTGGTGATATCACTTTTTGTTACTTCACTGTCTGTAAACATCAACATATTGTTGAACAAATGCCCCCAAAACCCCCACATTTTGCATTTACATTATGGGTACAATATATTAAAATATTTCTACTAAATCTTGCAGAAAAAAACATTCACATTAGTTTACTGTCATCTTCACTGATGTAAGATTTCATTTTTCATTTGTACTTTTTTGTGAAAAGAATCAAATATAATGGATATTTTATACAGACAATCATGGGTTTCAACATTTTTTTATTACTAAAAAAGGCACCAAATACAGGCATCATGTTGATAGCATTGTTATTTTCCACAAGATGATAGCACCAAAAATATATTGTCATTTCCCATCATTTCCTGTTCCCGTGTTTATTTTGATAGGCACACAGTTAAAAGAAAACAGGAGGTGGGATCAGAGAGGGGAGTGGAGAGAAACACGTCCACATCTCACACAAGTTTTTTCTTTTGCAGTGCTCTCCAACCAGTGTCATACACTTAAAAAATTACACTTACTTTTACATCATGGGTACATCAGTAGCTGAGCGTAACATAATACATCATAAGAGGGTAACAAAATAATACATACATGAGAAAAAAAACATTTTAGTGAGATGTGAGTAACTAAAAAGTGAGGGGATTTGTGTCTTTGGGCAGAACGAAGGCAGGTAGACACACATCTCTTATAAAATACATCATTTTAAAAAATGATTCTTTCAGTAGAACAGTAGTAAGGCTAAAGCGCTCAGTCATGTGGACGGGATCTGAAACCTTTGTTGTCTTAACAATCACATGGAAATGTCCACTTTCTCACTCTTGGAAAAGAAAAAGAAAACACTTTGGATGATTCGTTTTGAAATTCATGAGGAAAAATACTGCATGGCACTTAATATTGGCAGCTATCAGAGTACAGTACAAACAAGAAAATAAGAATTTGTGTTGAAACAAGAAGAATTATCTCTTTGTTCAACGTGAGAGTACAAATGTCTCTAAGTAAGGCTGGAAATACATGTTTTTTAAAAATGCAAATAAAGTTCCTGCTTATGAGGGAAGGATTAACAAAGGGTATGGCATAATTGCACTTGAATAGGTATCATTCATTTTTGTTATTATTTACACTCTGCACTCATTCAGCCTCGGACAATAGCAGCACAATGTACGTGCTTAATACTTTCACAGCAGTCAGAAGCAGCTGTAGCCGATGTAGAAGCCACTCCACGGGAAAATGAGACTTTGTTCTGTTTAATCAGAGTTTGCAGAGTTCATTTTTCAGCAGAAACAGTGGATGATAAATGCTGAAAAGGAGGACTTCGACACTGGCTGCAACTCTACAGTTGTAATATTTAGTAGCAGTGAAATGACTCAATGCAGCAAAGTAGTGTTTTTTTTGTCAGAATAATCACCAGTGTCTGAGCTACCAGTCACCATTTTGGTGCTAAAAAGGATGTAAATGTCAAGTAAGACAGTGATGAAATTAGCCACAGCTTCAGATAGAGTTTGGATGATCAGACGCAGATGTTTTGGCTGTTTCACGCAGCTGAGTGGTTTATGGATTCCTGAGGTAGCCCAGTTGCGAAATGATTACAACGCTGCGTATCTGTCTGCACGTCACACTCTTCCCTTTTTCAAAGTGGTATAAAAATACATTAACAAACATCTCGTTCCTTAAGTACAAACTTTCTTTTAGAAAATACCTTTTTTTATTTTACTTCCTCCTCCTCCTCTTCCTCCTCTCTCCTTTCCTTCCTCGTCAGTGTTTCAGACCTCAGTGCCATCGTTGAGGTTGTTGTGGAGTTTGACCTCCAGGTTGACCTGTTTGACCTTGGCCTTGCCGTTGGGCTCCTGGTTGCGGTTGAGGATGTTGATGTTCCTCACTGTGCAGTGTTTGCTGCTGAAGTTCTTCTCCACACACTTGTCCATGCACACTTCCACCTTGGTGTTGAGCGGATACTCCTCGTACACTTTCTGAGCTTTCTTGCTCTTCTTCTTGCCCGACTGTCGGCAGCGGCGGAACAGGAAGCAGGAGGCCAGCAGGACCAGGACCAGCAGGGTGACGGCTGCCACTCCCCCGCCCACCGTGCTGCCCATGTGGGCGTTGAAGGTTGCTGTGGGCCCGGCCTCCAGGTAGAGCGACTTCATGTTGGTGCCGTTCTTCACCTGGTCGCCCTCATTGTCGTAGATCAGCGACTCGTCCAGCGTCAGACGCCCGCTGCGATCAACCAGGTCGCGCTTGGAGCGGCTCAGCTCATAGGTCAACGAGCGCTGAATCCTGGGGCTGGACCGCGACTCCGGGCTGATCACATAAATCACCTGCAGGTACCACTGGTGCCCCGCCTCCACCTGTCAATCAATAGAGAGAAAGAAGGAGGGGGTTAGCTACTGCACTGAACAAATCTGTCTTTTATTTCAGCAGCCTGGATTCACCAACATTTTACCATAAGTGCCACTTTTGAAAAGTCACAATGTAAAGACTTTATGCTTTGACATCCAACTGCCTGTTAAATCAGCGAACAACGTAAGATGCTTAAAGAGAGTCCAGTGAAATATCATCGCACTCCTATAACATCATAAGATTCAAAAAACTCTAATTCAATGCAGACAATTGGAGAAAAGTTGTTGCCTACATTACCCACAATGCAACTGCCCACTATTCAACTTTAAATTAGGTAACATGTTCATGGTAACAGTCTCTGATTGGTGGAAGCTCATTTAAGCTTGTGGGAAGTTGGCTAAACAGATAAACATCAACATTTCTCAAAAATAAGTCCACAATATCCAGGTCTGTATGCTCATGTAAAGTTGACTTTACACAATTAAAACATAAAAGCTCCTAGTCTTGTTCCCCATGAAAATAATAATCCCTAAAATATATCTATGGGAACCTGAATTCAGGAAGTAAACGTCCATCAAATCACTCAATGGGGGAAGAAGTTCAACACAACACATGATGTAGCGCAGGTGTTTCCACACACCTTGTAGAGAGCATCAACCTTCATTGTAAAGCCGTCGACGCCCGGCATGGCTGTCATGGACTGCAGCTCTGGGATATCTGACGCTAAGTGAGCCTCGAAGGGAACATCATGGAAAAATTTGTCACAAACGTCTGGCTGTTTACGATCCTGCAGAGGAAACATGAAGAGAGAAAATAATCAGAGCACTTTAAAGTCAATGTATGTTCCTATGGCACAAAGTTTCTTTTGAAAAAGTCAGGTTTGTTCCTTATCTACCTGTTGGAAGTTACAAAAAATGTAAATAATGAACTCAACCAATGGCTCTATATGGTGACATTCAAGAAAGAATTGTCTTCAACGCTGTCTAAAAAATAGTGTAGATGAAAGGTATAATTCCACAGCTTCTGACCGAGTGGAGAATTTCTGCTGCAGATTACGATGGTTTGTCAACGACAACAACGTCAGTAATTTAAATAACCCACAGGCTTTGAACTGTCATTAATGCTGTAGGTGAAACGACACATTTTGAACAAGCACTGCACAGTTTAAAAAGCATAGGGAGGTGTCACTTCAGCCCCTGTGAACAGGCACTGCACTAGTACTCTTAATGACTCAACATCTACTGTATCCATTTCACATTAAAAGGCTTCTAGCAAAGAAAGTATTTTATTGTGAAACAACAGCAGAAGCGTGTTCAGTCTGAAAACATTTGGCACCGCTGTCTGCGGTTTGCAGGTTGAACGACATGTTTCCTTGAAACGTTGTGCAACTGTCCCCAACGGGCTTTGAGGTATGTTTTCTCTGATTACCCTTATGTGGCTCACCTCTGCTGATTGGACTACGTTTAGAACCCTAAGGAACAAGTGCACCTTGATGATAAGAAATTCCAAATCAGAGTTTTATCTGAAGACAGTTACAGAGAATCCAAATAACCCCGCAATATTCTGGAAAGTAATTAAAACCATGTCAGGTACACATATTGCTTCAAGCCTCCCTGAACATATTCTGGTTGGCTCAGATGAAATAAAGGATAAAGCTGCAATGTTCAGTCAGTTAAACAAACACTATCTGTGCTGGGTCTGCAGTTGACAGCAAATGTAAATGCACCTGTCCCATATTCTGCCGAGCTGCAAATGATAGAAAACTGGATTTGTTTGATTTTAAAACTATTTCAGTTGCTCAAATTTGTAAAGCTATGAAAGTCATTGACCACAAAAAACCTGCAGGTCCCAACAATCTGGATCATTTTTATTACTGCTGCTATGGTGGTAATAAACGATCTTATGGTGCCTTAGACAGAAAACAGGGGTCTATTTTGGGACCTATTCTGTTCTCTATTTTTATAAATGACTTAGGTAAGGACATTCAAGCAAAATACACTTCTATGCTGATGACACTGTCATTTATACACATGCTCCTTCCATAGCACAGGCTGTGCAAGAGCTTCAGATTGCATTTCAGTCATTACAAACTGCTCTGCTCATTTTAAAACTGGTTTTAAATCCTCAGAAAACGAATGGTCTTCTCAAAAGCTCTCCTACAGTTGCTTGCTGATCTTTGCATTTTTACGTCTGATGGTAAATCCATTGAAAGGGTGCCCACATACAAGTACTTAGGTATATGGAAAACGACAAACTTTTATTTAAATACATATTCCTAATCTAGTTAGGAAGCTAAGAAGATTGGCTTTTATTTTAGAAATAAATCTAGCTTTAATTTCAATGCCAAAAAAACACTTGTGGAAGCTACTTTTCTGTCTGTGATTGACTATGGTGACATATTATATATGCACTGAGCCTCCTCCATCTTATGGAGCCTTGATTCAGTGTATCATGCATCTCTATGCTTTATTACAAATGTAAAGTCCCTCATTCACCATTGCATTCTTTATGATCTGGTGGGTTGGACATCACTGACCACCCGACACAACAGCACTGGCATATTATTATACATAAAGGCATGCTAGGTAAACTTCCAGCTTACCTCTATACCCTTCTCTGTCTCAGTCCTACTAGTTACCAGATACGCTTCTCCAAGTGGTTGCTTTTTAATGTAACCATGGTTTTGACAGATCTGGGAAAACTGCATTTTCATACTATGCTCCCTGGGCATGGAATAATTTGCAAAAAGATCTTAAATTAGAAACGTGTATATCTATTGATAAATTTAAGAGCGTCATAAAGAATGTGGTGAAGGAGACATTATGTATTTTTTGTAGCATTTTAATATGTTGTGTTTATGTATGGCTGCTACCTTGGCTGCCAGGTCTCTCTTGTAAAAGAGATTTTGATCTCAATGAGACTTCAGGTAAAACAAAGGTAACATTAAAAAATAAAATAATACTGATTATGGTAATGATATTTGACCTGAGGGTGGCAGTATTTTGAATAACGGTCTTTAAATATGTACCCCAGACCAGAGTAAAGAAATATATATTTGTACCAGCAGTAGGAAGCGATGCTTCAGGTGCTTGTTGGGCTGGATGCAGCCGTACTGTGGCCCCTCGTTGTACAGCGTTCCTGTGGGGTCAAAGAAGGGAACATATCCGTCCCTGCCAGTGCAGAGGTAAACCTTCTCCAGCTGCAGTTTGTAGGCTGCGTTCAGGTTCTGCTCAGGGTTCCACAATACTCTGCCATACAGAGTTTGACCTGCAGGGGGCAGCAGACAGATCAGGACAGGTTTTTATTTTATTTGTAGAAGTGCATAAAAATGTTTCAGTTTCTTCTGCATAAACCACAAGAATTCTTGATCTGTGACTTAGAAGAAGTCAAGATTACAACATTATCTTGGTAAGAACTTCTTAGTAACTGATAACATGAAATAAATTCAGATCCTACACCGGTCGTTTGCAGGTTTTATGATGAAGAGGATTTGTTTGTATATGGCTGAAAGAATATGATTCATAACCAGGATATGGATGTAAGAAACAAAGCAGGACAGTGTGTTGTTAAAATTCAAAGAAAGGTCAGTAGAGAATCTCCTAAAATTATTTAAAGAGGTCATATTATGCGTTTTTGTGCATGTAATAGGTTTGCAAAGTGAAAAAGCCCAAAGTCCACCCCAAAGAGAGTTCCCATCTCCCACAGAAAACTCTGTTCTGAACTGCTTGAAAACAGCTCGTTTGTAGCACAGCCATTTTCCTTTGATCCCTGTGACGACACAGAGAAACACGCATCATAATGCTCGCCATTGCGGCTAATCCGACACTGAGCTGCAGCAGACAGTGACAAGACAACCGCCTACTGCCTCTCCTCTCCCTTCCAAACACTAGCTACCCTCCAGGCAGTCAATGGACATAAAATTGTCACTGTGATGAAGAGACAGAGCTCAGTTAAAACTTTATAGATGAAAGATACATTTGTTACAGATTAATAAATCACCACTCTGAAACTCTTGCTCCAGTCTATGTTGCTAAGATGGTAAGGGGAACATATACAGCTTAATCTACGCCGAAGAGGCTTCTCATGACTTGCCCTACTTTGCTTCTGATTAGCTAGAAGTCCGTATCTATGAACTGCGCATGTGCAACTCCTACAAGAGAAAATTTCTAAAAGGCTGTTTCAAGAAGGTAGTTCTGTTTCTCTCCTTTCATACCCATGGAGAATGCTCCCTTGTAGTCCATCTCAGCCATAGACACATCAGCGGTAGCCGGGTCCATCATGAACACCTTCTCATTGTTACACAACTGGAACTCCGTGTTGAGGGAGTAAACCACAGGAACAGGCCGGTTGGTCTGCTGGAAGGCGATCGGCACCAGAAACCTGACGGAGAACAGCAAGACAGTACAGGTTTCATGTGACCTGGCTCCCTAAAATATGTCGTCATCAAACCACAAGAGTTTGGACTCAAGCAGGGACTTACTTCTCTGGAGCGTGAGCCGTGCAGGACAGAGGTTTGTCACCGGGGTCGATCCAGGCTGAGTGGGCTGGACAGTGCAGGGGATCAAGAAGACTGTGTACTCCCCAGAATAGTCCTTCCTGTTGAAGGATACACATTAAGACAACACAGAAAGGTTATTACCAATGCACAGTGAGTTACAATGAAGGATCAAAGGGTTGATCTTCTGAATCCAAAGGAGCATGATTAAAGAAATCAGAAGTCAAATTGACTTAAGGTTTTCCACATAAAGTGACATTCTAGTTGTTCCACAAGGAACTGTCTGAGGCTCCCTGGAGAAATCCTACTCTAAAAAGGTCTGAAAGTTCCCAATATCCTGATGTTTTGTTTTCCTAAATCTTAAATCAAATTTGGTTACGTTTGTTCTTTACTTTAAATGTCACTGTTGAGCAAATGATCAACATTTACTAAAAACTACTAACTGAACCACTTTCATATTTCCCATCCAGCTGAACTGAGAAATGTCAGTGTGATTGAAAAACGAATGGTAGCCTTCCTTCACCCCTTCTGATTACGGCTGTGGGAACCGACTGACCTGCTGTAGGAGCTGGTGGCTCTCCACAGCTGGTATGGTGAGTCAAAGGTTTGAGCGCTCCACAGCAGCTGTATGTCAAACTCGATGCCTCCGAGGTGGTCGGGCGCCATCAGGTGGGACTTGTGGCCCGGCAGAGTGTGGTGTTCAAGGACAAACTGACCTGGAGGAAGGAAATTTGGAAATATGACACCAAAATAACCCTCTGTTCTCTTGTCTATCAGTCTTCTAAGTACATTTGTTGTATTAATACGACAGCAGACACCTTCTAAAGAAAAAACAAGGAGGTATGGACTTCTGTCTGACCCAAAACATATGAAATGTTGTGGTGGATGTACTGAACTGACCTCTGAATTTTGCATGAGTTTTGAACTCAATCACCAGTCGTCCGTCTTCTCTGATGTAGATCCTGATGATCTGCAGTCTGGCTGAGAGGACGCTGTCAGTCTGGATACCTGCAGACAGGAAGCACCAGCCAAGGGTGTCAAAGGTCAGATCGAGGTTGGATTAAAACACTGGTTTAGTTTTGTTAAATAAAACAGCATATATGGATTCTGATCATTTCACATAATGTTCAGATGTTTGCAAACAGGGACCAAATCCATCCCTAAATTAATCTTAAAAGAAAGTTTTAAAAAAGCATGTAAACTGTATAAGTTGTGGATTTTCATCCTGAACCTCTTCTGCTCCGTTTTCACAATAAATGCCTGGAAAGATAAAAATGATTTGCTTTCAAAAGCTGCAATAAATGTTCTCATAATCATTTGGAAGAGACTCTTTGTTTTGCGATACACAGAGTAGGTTAAACTTTAAAAGTGTATGTAGTGGATCCAGAAGAAATGCATAATGGATGCCTTGCAGTGACTTCATTTTATGATTTGCTCATAAAGCGATAAAGTCAGTTTCCTGACCTGTCCTCCAGAGTACGGTGTCGTAGAAGAAGAGAACTCCATCTCGTGTGATGCTCCAGAGAGGCCCAGCCTCTCGGTGCCGTCACGTAGATGTACGACACATAGAGAGGTACCTGCACCGTCAGGAAGGACTGGGCAGAGTCCCGAACCTGGAAGAACAGCAGCTTTGTTTATATTGGTTCTGCACCTGGGGGCTGGGAACCCTCAGAAGGTCATATAAGGATTGAGCACCTGCTGTGATTGAGTACTTGAGTTCTTGTGGTGTATATGTCATGCAACATTTTCTCCATATTTCTCCTATTGTCTCCGCCAAGGATCTTATGACTTTAATTTGTTTCTAGAAAGCTGGTATACTTCTGTGAGACTAACAACTGATTGAGCTTTATAGTTCACCTTGGAAACATCATTTGACAAATCTCTATTCACTTGCTCGTTCTGGAGACTCGGATGGTATGGTGCATGTTGTTTTCATGGCCAAGAATGGACTTTCAAAGTGCTCAGAATAATGTAAAGTGTGAACAATTCCATGACAAGTGACCAAACATGTAATGATGAAGACAGTGTGACATTGGGGTCAAAAGCCCCAGAACAACTTAATAGTGGACCTTGAGGGGAGTTTATAAATAATTGATTACATTTTGGTGATGATCCAGATCAGGTTGGAAAGCTACTCAGTCGAGGCATCTGCTACGTAGTTAAGTAGTTCTAATTGATAGATTTTCGGTGGTCACAGAAAGAACGTGCTCTTGACGGTCTGATGTACCTGGAAATCAGCGGTGACTGAGCCCCCGCAGACGTCGATGAGCTCGGTCATGTCGTAGTAAGCATCAAAGGTCCAGATGCAGCTCTTGAGGTTGAGGTGCTTGTAGAGCTGGATGCTCTTGGCCTCGCGGACGTTTGGGTTGAACTGATAGGGGCGGTCATAACCGGCCCAGAGAGATGCTGTCGTAGGATACATCGTCCAGGAAACCTGTCTCTGTGGAGGAATGTTGTCAAAGTTTGTAGCAGAAAAAAGATCTTAGAAGTCCACAGAAAACAATATTTTCTGATTTAAACAAAGATCTGGTTAATGTTTAACCACCATTCTAATCCATTTTACAAGTTATATTACATAACAGATAACTACATAAGAAGTATTTCAGCTTGGTGTCGAAATACCAGATGATAACTCTCCCTAATACAGAGTTCACCATGAGTTTTCTGTTTCATGTTTCCTCCCTTTTATGTGTGTTTATGGGAGTGTGTGTGACTGACCGGAAAGACCCTGTAGGTCTTTGAGGGTAACAAGGTTGGAGCAGACGTGTGCTGCCTATATATGGACTCTGACAGGAGAAATGCAGGTTGTACAGCGGCATGGTGGACACCAGGGGGAGCATGCCGTCCTGATGGGGGATCTGCACTGAAATATGGATACTAAACAAGGACACACAGGGCAGGAAAGAAAATTAACAAAAACAGTTTTGGTTTATGCAATTTAAAAAGCCACCATCCATCTGTCCTTCTCACGGTTGGGGTGTTCCTTGTGCTTGACGTCCAGGTATTTGAGTGTGGCGATGAAGGACTGAGCCTGGAAGCCTCTGGCGGTTCCCGTGGTAACCGGCGTGTGGCAGATGGAGCCCTCTGTGCCGATGGTGGCGATGTTGCTTCTCAGCGGCGTTCCAAGGTGACCAGCCTTATCCTGGCCTGAGCAACGCAGCGAACGTGGAAGCGACGGCTGAAATAAATACTGTCCAGGACCTGAGAGAGACAGCAGTGCAGGCAGGGTGAGTGAGACCAAAGCCAACATCATTTGTTATTGATGTTTGGCAGTGATCATCTTGGCTCCATCTATTCCTTTTCAGAGATCCCAACTCACCATGTGGTTGACGCTGGTATACGGCGTGGTCTGTGACTGTCTCAAAGGGGGACCGAGCGCCGCTGGTGTCGGTGGGTGCCGCACATTCCCAGGAGAAGTGAACTTGGGTCTGGTTGATGCCTGCCTCCTCACAGCGCTCCTTCATCACAGAGTACTTGGGGTAGTGAGGGTCACAGGGGTGACACACACCAGAGGGTAACCTGGAGAGGGCGTCTTCTTACTGCCTTCCTTTGTCACCTCCTGGACATGATCATAGTCGGCGAGAGACACCACCTGAGGAGGAAGGAGGATGGGTAATGATGACATTTTATTTGCTTGAAATTCTACTTTCTTTTTCATCTTTCTGTCATTGTTTCTATTTGAACACCGTCCAGATGATTGAGTAGAGCACAAACACAGATGAGATTCCTGTTGAGGAACTGAAAGGCATTTGGGGTCAAATCACACACCACATTT